TCAGCTTGGAATCAGGAACATCTGTTACTGTTCTGCAAGCACAGAAACAGGTCTGGAGGGTTTCAGTTTTGGCACCCAGAATAAATCAGCGTTTGAAACGTAGCTCCTCCTGTGTTTCACTTTACCTGTCTGTAGAAATGATGATCTGACACCGTTGCCTTCTCAAAGTTCTGTGGGTATTTTTTGAAAGCTTTGAACGTGTAAAGCATCATAAAGGTGCTAATTACAAAGTTGGCTTGAAATCAGAAGTGCTTATCGTGGTGAAGTGTGGTTTATCATGTTCCTTAGCGCTGGACAAGTTGAATTGGGGAAACACATTTCCAAAATACTGCAGTTCGCTATTTCTATGTTTTTCTGTTTTTACAAAAGACAATATTATAGTATTTCCCTTTTCTGCTCCTATTTCTCCAGGCAACAATCTTTGTTCCATGTTTTAGCTGCGTATTCCATATATAACACGGTAAGTTGTGGACCTTCACACGAATCTGGTTTCTCTGAATGTGCTCTAAGATAATAACTGGCATCTCTTCTTTCTCCCTAAAAAAAAAAAAACAAACAAAAAACCCCTAACAAACATTTCAGAGGCCTTTGGAAGGATATAGAAATAGATCATTTGCCTGTTGACGTGGTTTGAGCTGAAGTTAAAATGAAGCATCTCGATTATGAGTATCTGATTGGACAGCCTGAACTGTGCACACAGTTTGGCTGAAGCTCCGTGTTGTGTCCAGTAAGAACAGTGAATTTGTGCTGTGCTGGAGGATTATGCACTGGTATTGTTATCTGCCTCCCATTCATTGAATGATAGGGAGGAACATACTGGAAAAAGATGCATGTTGGAGTTAACAGGCATATTTCATAACCTGAAAGGCTCTAGAAAATGGAAAATGTCTTTAAAGGTTATATCTTCTTTACTTAAGCCCTTGGTCTTGGCTGCAGTCCTGGGTGGGGATTTATTAGAGTGGGTTTTCTAGACTGTATCCTAAGGGTTAAGAACTTGTGTCTTTTGGCTGTATGCTAAAAATAGAACCCAAAATGCTGTTGGGTCCGCATTTAACTGTGCTTTAAATATAATATCCCCTCGTTCCTTGGGCCCATTTTGAGCATTTCTGTACATCTTCCATTTTATATCCATCAGCAACTCCCTAGCATTCAGTGTGAAAATACATAATGTTCAGAAGAGGAAGGTGAAATTAAGCAGTTACTCAAACTAAATAGTAGTTTGATTCGTTTTCAAAGTTCCAAGAAATGTAACCTTTCTCTCTGGCCTTTATATACCTCCTATAAAACATTGGACCAGTATTTTCAAGTTGCATGAAAAATACAGTTTAAAATCAACCATCAAAGTGTAATGATGGGAATAGTGCAGTGAAGTCTTTTGTTTGCGCTTATGTTGTTGCATTTTTCCTCCTAATGTGCAGCAGTTCTTATTCTTTGCTTTTATCTCAAGAGCAGAAGTTCTGCTAAGGACTTGTAAACCTGAAAAAACTTATCAACAATTAAGTCATTGTCCTTACAAATTCTTTATTGGTGGGGTTATCTGAGCAGCTGAATTGATGGTGACAGTTGGTTCCTGCCATAAAAGTCAAAATTAATAGCAGAGGAAATACTTGAGTTCAGTTTTGGAACCATAAAATTTTTCTTGGGGTTTATTACAGTTGCTGGTTATTGGGCTGCTAAACTTCAGCAGGTTTATAGTTACAGGTCACTCTTGAGAAATCCTGTTCTTATCGGGTGGTGCTCTGACTGTAAACCTGAACAAAGCCAGATCCTCTCCTCTCCCTCAAAAAAACAGCTAAAGGATAACATGTCCATTCTGAGAGTAAGATGATACAGTTACTCGAAGATGTTAGTACCGAGGAGAATTTTGTGCATCAGTAATGAGTTCTAATGAACAATCAATACTTCCAGGTTACTCTTTAGCTGGGGGGTTGTGCATCATTCCTTCTGCCTGTCAGTATTTTAATGTTTAAATATGAAGTGTGTTTGGTGGTGTTATAATCAGGGACCCTGTGCCATCAGGACAGGCGTCTCCACTAACCAAAGGAAGAGATAAGAGCTCGTTTTGTTCCCAGCAGTTTGATATTTTCCCTGTCTGATTGTCAGGAAGTTGGATACTGTCAGGGGATGAGCCAGATCACAGCGTTACTCCTCATGTACATGAATGAAGAAGATGCCTTTTGGGCCTTGGTGAAGCTCCTCTCTGGCCCAAAGCACGCTATGCACGGTATGGTTCCATCTCATTCAGTGTGTTTAGGTTTCAGCCTGTCCTTTCAAGCTGTAAATTATTCAGAAATTAAACTCTGCTGCTCTGTCTGATTGGTAAAAGTGAGGCACGATGGGAGCTTTGTACTTGGGAGGGGGTATTGGATGTTACTGGAGCTCTCACCCACAAGGGTAACTAATTGTTTTTATAAACATGTGATATCTTTCAAATAATTCGAATGAAAATCAGATGGTTTCCTCTTCTCTTGTTCTCTCAGGGAATGTAACCAGTTGAAGGCTGGTTATGCAGACCTCTGTGTAGTAATAAAATAGTAGTGGAAACCTAATACAGAATGTGTTAAATAATATTGCAGCTGTGCTGTCACTTGGCAGGACAGGAATCGACAGTAAAAAATGGACCTGTGTCTAGGCGTGAACTTTGGGTTTCTCAGTTTTATCTCTTCCTCACACAGAAACTCCTGCTCTTGTGGTGTTGTTACTCTTATGTTATCAGTAGCCCTCTCTTTCCTTGCCAGATTTAGTATGATCCGTGCATGTTCTGTGGCTATTGGTATGGGACAAGTCCAGGAATTCCAGCATCTTTGTGATGTTACTGGTGTGGTGATTCAGAAAAGCTGGAGTTCTTGGAAGCCTGAAAAAGGAAATGTCATTTAGAAATTGGGCTTTTTAGCAGATTTCCAACAACCTCCAGCTCCTTTCCCTGCTTAAGACTTCCTCGTACTCTGATACCTCCCTCAGCTTCCCAGTGTTCCTGGATATTCTCCACCCCCAAGACAAAGGGCCAGTTTGTTATTTTGCAGCTTATACTTCTGCAAAACTGTCACTTTTTTGGGGAAAAAAAGTGTGATGTGAGGATCAGTGTCACAAGTAAATTTTGAAATCATCAAGTGTCAAAGCCTTTCTTGAAGCTTTACACGACACTAACACAGACTGAGAGCATCTTACAAAAAATCTAGAGATTTAACAGCAATCAAAACCTGGGCAACTGCAGCTGTGTAGGATTTTGAGCTCTTCAAAGCTCATAGGAAATTCTGGGTGTTTTGGGAAGTAAGTCAGAAGTGCCACAGGTTGGAACTGTCCTGGCGACATCTGCTAGGGAAGGTTGCATTTATAGTTATGCTGACAAAACCTTAATTGTTACTCAGATGTTCCCAATTCACCATTCACTAAATGTTACCAACCTGCTCTAAGGTTCTGCTTTCAGCAGGTTGGACCAGATAATCTCCAGAAGTCCTGTGCAACCCAGATTTCCTAGGATTCTCTGAATGTTTCTGTTTTAAATGAGTTTATGTCACTGTGCATCTGTAAATATAACCGTAGATTCTGGAAGGCAAACTTTAAAACTCACTTAACTGATGTCGTATAACTTTGCCCTTTTTCTGTGTTCTGAGGGGAAAGTGGCTTAAAGCACCATTTGCCAACCCTGCAAAGCCAAAACAGTTTCAATTCTAAATTGCCAAGATCCATGAAGAAGAACTTTAATAGTTACACTTGATGCTGCTGACCATCAGATGCTTCTCCGAAATGGGCATCCCCCTGTGGAAATTGTGGTGGGGGCTGAGTAATTCAGTTGGAATCATATTGACAAGAGTAGGGTGGTGAAAAGTTCTTGGTTTTCTCTTCTGCATGTGATCTGGATACCTGGAATACTTTTTGGGTGCAGCCCATTAACCAGACTTACTTCTAGCATAGCCCCACTTGAAATCAAGAGGTGAATTTGGCCTCTCTGATGCTTTGGGTTGTGAAATGTGAAGTCTCTAAATGATAAAACACAGGTATCTGACCCTGAAAACAGTGTAGTATTTTGGAAGCTCTTTCTACTGATCTTTCTACAGTCTTAAAAACT